CCGCTTTTAACAACATTTCAGTTACATCACGTTGTGTAGGCTTAATGTGGGAGGAGAGCCCGAGCAGGCGAACTAAGGGACGTAACTCCAATTTCGTACCACCTGGGCTGATATCTATCGTCATATATCAGCCCAGCAGACGGGTGTAATACGGACTTGGCTATTACACCTCCCGGATATGTTGACATATGTTCTCTGTTGGCTCTATCAGACATGCAATTGAAATGCCTCATGCCATAGTTAGGTATATGATAAATAAATTGGTCCTTGTCGATGGCAAAGTAAACTGTATAGCTTCATTATCTATAAGCGGTTGTTTTTATTGCAAAATAGGTGATTCTTTTGTTTTTCACTTTAAGTTTATATTAAATTATCTCCTACGTTTGATTAAGTATATGGTTAGTGAGGATACAAGGAGAACATTAATATGTCTCAAATCATTATCATCTATAAACGCTTATAATTAGTTTCGCAAAATACATTTAAAGTATATTATTATTTTTTTCGTTGTCCAATTTTAGAGGTGATTTGTGATGCATTTGTGTATGTTTAACTTTCTTGTTCGTGTAAATAAAATGCTGCTGAAAAAACCACTCAGATGTTTGAGTATGAATCTGCAGCTGTCAAGCATGGAGGCGAGACAAAAGGAGCCATACATAATACATTAGACAACAGATATATTACATAATTGAATTTTAATCTATCAAGGATGGAGACGCGATATAAAGGAGACAACAACAGTTATATCATTATATATATTTGCATATGAATATGTCTGGGATGGAGAGGAGAGGAGAGGAGAGGCAATATTTATTAGACAATGTTTTGAATATGGTAGTTTTCTTAACGTAGCCGTTAAGCATTTGGTTGTTTTGCAAAATAAATGTAAAGTATATCTTTCACATTTTCCAATTATTAGAGTTGATGGTGTTGTATGCATTTAAAGTCCTTTTTATCCATTTTTCTTATTCATATGTATAAAGATCCTGCTGGAAAACTACTTGCAGAAAACCCATTTGAGTAAGAATATGTCAAGGATCAAAGGCACCATGTTACAGATATATTAGTATTATGGATATTTGAATATTAAACTGTAAAGAATCGACGCCAGATTGAAAGCGCTATGCATCCTTTTTCAGACAACAAATGTATTACTACTAATATTTGAGTTTAAGTCTAAATCTAAATCTAAATGATGGAGAGATCAAAAGCGCAAGGCATGATTTATTTGAAAACAGATATAAGTGTATATATTTGAAAATGATGGTTCAGTATCACCGTTGGTTGTAGCCAGCTGATCAAAGTTGTGGGGAAGGTATGAAACAGAGAGATTAAATATTCTACAGGAATTGGTTCCTCATGGATGCGTGTTGACTATAAAGAGACCGTCCTTGGTGATATGAACACCAACAGGTACCCTTTGCAGGACTTGAGGGACATAAGAGTGAGTGAGTGATTTTTACGCCGCTTTTAGCAATATTCCAGCAATTTCACGGCGGGGGACAGCAGAAATGGGCTTTACACATTGTACCCATGTCGGGGTTCGAACCCGGGTCTTCGGCGTGACGAGCGAACGCTTTAACCACTAGGCTACCCAACCGCCCTAGGGAGGGACATAAGAGGTGTCTTTATCGACCACTGTGCGAAATACACTACTGATCTATCAGGTGCTGAGACAAATACTTGAAAATGTTTCTGAATACATTTTATTCATAATTTCCATTTGTGAGTTATTTACCTCAGACAGGTAACGTGCAACATGTTTACCTCAGACAGGTAACGTCAACACGTTTACATAAGACAGTGGCCGGGCAACAAGAATTTACCTCGTACAGACAGTGGGCAACATCTCAGACAGAACGTGAAACATATTTACCTCGGAAAGAGAATGTGAAACACGTTTACCTCCGACAGGAAACGTGCAACACGTTTACCTTAGACTACCGCAGAGAAGGGAACGTTAAAAGTATCTCCTACCAGACGCTCATTTCACAGCCAAGAGGGTCTTTTGTACTTTAGTAAGAATGGATTGATTACATCACACAAAAACGATACAGACTGAGATTGGTTGATGAATTCAATATTGTATAAATTAGGAATATATAACAAGAAACATCTGATCATGATGTAATAATATGGCGAAAAGGAACTGGAGATTCCAGGGCAGAACAGATTCCCAATACCCAATGATTGTTTAGACCTTGGAGATTTCAGGGCAGAACAGATTCCCAATACCCAATGATTGTTTAGACCTTGGAGATTTCAGGGCAGAACAGATTCCCAATACCCAATGATTGTTTAGACCTTGGAGATTCGAGGGTAGAACAGATTCCCAATACCCAATGATTGTTTGGCTGTGGAGATTCGAGGGCAGAACAGATTCCCAATACTCAATGATTGTTTGCCCGTGGAGACACCACGGCCCACTTGCACAAAGCGATCTTAGTGCTAAGATCATCTTAACTCCTATACATTAACAAAGGCTTCAGATAGTCTTAGCGCTAAGATCGTTTTGTGCAAGTGGGCCCAGGCAGAAACTTGCTACATAGATCAATCTAGTGTTGAACTTGTGCCTTTTGATAATTTGTGATTTTGAAAAGCTCTTGTTCTGCTTGCTGTCATATTACAGAAAAAGTGTAGGGAAAACCTCTCGCCCGTCATCTACATACATATTTGCTACTGGTTGTTGTGAAAACAATAGCAAACCATTGCAGGAGAAATATGTCCTTTATTCACAACAGACAGTCATAAAAAAAACAATTTTACTTCCTGATTGAGAATAATGATAACAAGTTCTGTTTAATAGAGACAAGTTCAGCTGTTTAATGACAATAATGTCAGGAAGTTGTGTTCTGATTAATGATGACAAATTTGTGCTGGTTAATGACAAGTCTCCTGCACACAATTATCATGAACGGCTGCACTGGAGACCTTACAAAGTACCTGTTGATTGGAAGGTATGGGAAAATATGGTAAATAGATGTGTTGACTATTCGCAGAGATCCATTTTGTGGAAAGTGGCCTCAATGCATGCTGGGGACATTTTTGGACAAACGGTTTGGTTTAGCATTCTGGGCACCACCCTTTTTGAAAAACACAAAAGGATTCTTTGATTGTATTGTATTGGTTTTTTTTTACCGCCGTACTCAGCAATATTCCAGCTATATGACGGCAGTCTGTAAATAATCGAGTCTTGACCAGACAATCCAGTGACTGAAATCTGGAGCATCAATCCACGTAATCAACCAAGTCAGCGAGCCTGACCACCCGATCCCGTTAGTCGCCTCTTACGACAAGGATAGTCACCTTTTTCGGCAAGCATGGGTTGCTGAAGACCTATTCTACCCCGGATCTTCACGGGTCGAATTCATTTGAAGATTTGGAGGAAAATGGGTACATTTGTGTAAATGTGTATCGACACTGAATGTCTGCCTCTAGTAATGTTTTAACTGAAGTTTTATGACTATAAACACAATCTTATTCTTGAAATAAATGCCCTTCATCTAGTATTTGTCAACTTTTGACCATGCACTCATCCCTTCACTGTAGTAACCCCTGCCAGAACACTCAGTGATCATGACACTGCATGGGTCATAGTTCTCGGCACCTCGTCTTTGTGCGTACAAATATATGCCAGAAAAACAAGGCTTTATTGAATGACAGTCTCGTCCATGTTACAGTATAGGAGCAACAACAGGGAGGTGAGCTGTAACCCATTCATATTGTACCCTGCAGGACTTCTGGGTTGCGTGCACTCTGTGCGATCTATGAACTACTTTGTTCAGTGCACAGAGCACTAAAAGACGGATATCTGTGAAAATATATAGATTTAGAAAACTGGTTACCATGGATACAGATAATCTGGAAAATGTGTAAAGAGGAAAGCAGCAATTCACACACATCTGTTTGTATATATGTGATTGAAGCTAACCATACAATTATGGCACAGCTTTTCTTCCATAGTATCAAAGCTCTTCCTTCCAAGATGGCTGCTAAGACTTCTTCTGTAGGATTTTGATTGTAAGACCATTTTTTTATACTCCTTGGCTCATAATCTTTTTATCAAAAGCATATGTTTGGTGGCTGAATTTGATATTCCCATAAATTGGTTATTATCAAAATTAATTGCTGAAAACATTTGTCCAGGCAGCAAGATAAAAATTGATATGAAGATGCTACTTTGAGAATGTTGAGTGTTTGTTCTCTAAGTCTAATGTGACCTCATGCAACGGGAAGTAAAACATGCAGACTCAATGCCATCTAAAGGTACTGTGTCTAACAACTTTTAGTCAGTCACAACAATTTCTCAACCTCCCAAGGCAAGTGAGTTAGCTGACTATAAAAGTCTTGTTTCCAGCCTTGCCAAACGAACTGGGCTGCAATGTTGTAGCGCCACCAGTGGACATTATGTCCCTCCTATTGACCAACCACTTTCCACCTACCATACTGCTTGCAGTTTCAGCATCAAGTCTAAAATGATTCCATCCAATCCCGGAGGAGGAAGAGGTATACTGCAAAACATCAGTGGGAGGTATAAACTTGGAGACTCCACTCCAGATAAAGTCAGTGTATTTGACCATGAAACTTTTAGTCTATCACAACTCCTAGGCAGTATCACTCCACATTCGTGATTGATGAAAGCATAAAAGATTCTCGAGACACAACAGTGTGATTTGAGCAATGAACAACATACCAGAAGACATTCCTTGTCCTACAAGTCTGGGACCCGGTCTTAAACATATATCATGGCAGCCTGTAAATAATAACGCCTTTGTTTGGCGAAGGAGCGTTGACAGCATGAATAATGAACCACTCCATCTTAAACAATGATACAATAATCACAGTCACATTTGTTGGTTCACTGGGCAACCATTGTATGTGCCTTTCTGCCGACTCTTAAGCCCTTACATGAAACACATCCCTCCACCTCCCTCCATCAGGAGAAATAAGACGAATCTGTAATCAAGATATTACTGATAACAACCCACTGTGTTGTCAACTTACAGTTCTCTCCCTTGCCCAGACATCTTGAAGCCTCGAAATGGTGTCTGACAGGTGACGATGTCATATAGCAGTTCACCCTTCAAAACAGGTGAAAATAGAAATGGTTAAAGCTTGATTTCTTTACAAACACAAGAAAATAATAATATTTTTTCATTTATTTTAACATTGCAAAACTTGATCCTCAGATATTCACCAGTTGACGTCCAAGACATCACAAAACCTAACAAATTAAATATATGAACATAATAATTAAAAATATTACCAACATAATTTTGATCTATCTAAAATGTTAATGGATAGAATGCAGTATTTTGTTCTATTGCTGTTATATAGAGAAATATCTGGTAGATCCTTTACTTCATCCAGCATCAAGGCCAAATCAGTTGTCTTGTGAATAAAACGTCTGTATGGTGAGCATATCAAAGACGTGTCACACCAAAAGATGTTAAAAGATGGTACTTTTACCCCAGCTGGAGCTCAGCATTAAGGACATATAACATGAACTGGTTGTCTCGGAGTCAGTATAGAGTGCTTGTGCTGTGTAGCTGATGTTAGAACTGCCACATTTCAGTGGGATATTACTATAAAACCAGCATTAATATGGACTAGAACAAGCAGCGAGTGAGTGAGTTGGGTTTTACGCCGCTTTTAAGGGTATTCCAGTTTATGTCAGCTTAATGTGGGAGGGAAGCCTGAAGTGACGCAGGTCTCAGACGTTTACCACTTCGGTGAAAACCACGAGCACGGGTATGGTGCTGACAAACCTAGAAACATAATCAGGGTGAAACGGAATTTGAACCAATCATAGGTTTCTGGCGTGCTCAAGGAATGCACCTATGCACAGCGAATTGCGGCAACTTAGACGGCTGGGCCACCCGTGCCCCCCAAGAACAAGCAGCAACACACATACATTCATGCACGTTGCCATATAAACACAGCCATCCTGAATGTGACATCAAACCCTGTTTCACCTCACCTCATTCAGTGCCATAGACAGCAGTTTCACACTCACACTTCTTTAGAACAAACTCATCTTTGTCAACAACTTCCAGACAATGACATGTGACATTAATTCATAACAAATATGACTTTTGACTGATATCTTAAAGTCACCACAAGTGTCCAAACGAGCATCTCATATAGTTGAGGGTTTAGATTTGAATGGTTTCCATGACAACACCTACTCACCATACACCGCCAGCCTGGAGCTTCTGTGACAACACGAGCGCCTTGTTGATGTCGTTTGTGATGACGCCTACCGCCAGACCGTACTTTGTGGCGTTGGCTCTCTCCAGAACCTCCTCCACGTCACGGAACTTGATGATGGACTGGACCGGCCCGAATATCTATAGATAGAATTACATATAGAGTGTGGGGGCGGTCAGGTAGCCTAGAGGTTTAAGCGTTCGCTCGTCACGCCCAAGACCCGGGTTCGATTCCCGACGTGGGTACAATGTGTGAAGCCCATTTCTGGTGTCCCCCGCCGTGATATTGCTGGAATATTGCTAAAAGCGGCGTAAAACCATACTCACTCACTCACTCACATATAGAGTGTGAGGGAGTGGCCTCGGGGTATTGCCACATCCAACTCTGTTTCAGTCGTATCAATGTGGCAGAAAAGTGATGTGTTTAGATGTTTACACTATGAACCTACAAGTATGGGTTTGGTACGGGCAAACCAATGACGATATTTTGGGTAAATCTGGAATTCTAACCCATGATCACATGTTCCTGGCATGTCAAAGGGACACAACTATGCTCAGGGTCATTGCAGCACTGAAGGATACTTGGTCATCATGCCTCCAACTGTACCTAAAATTTGTGTGAGGTTGGTGAATGAGTGAGTGAGTGAATGTTACTTCACATCTTAGCAATTATTCAAGCCTGTAAATACTCAAATCCTGGCCAAGCAAACCAGTGGGTGATAGCGTCATAATCAACACACAGCACTCAGCAGGGCACACCTCCCTATGAATCCCCATACAGGTTTGTACACCACCTCCCTCCTGCAACCTACCTCCTCCCTGGCAATCCTCATGTTGTCCGTCACATCAGAGAACACTGTGGGCTTGATGAAGTAGCCCTTGTCACCCCACCTCTCTCCTACAACCTGCCTCCTCCCTGGCAATCCTCATTTTTGTCCGTCACATCAGAGAACACTGTGGGCTTGATGAAGTAGCCCTTGTCACCCCACCTCTCTCCTACAACCTACCTCCTCTCTGGCAATCCTCATGTTGTCCGTTACTTCGGAGAACACTGTGGGCTTGATGAAGTAGCCCTTGCCGCCCCACCTCTCTCCCCCGTACTGCAACTTGGCTCCCTCATCCTTGCCACTCTTTATCATGTCAAGGATCTTCTTGAACTGGGCATCATCAACCTACAGCAAACAGAAGGTAGGATTGACCACAAGACTCAATACGACTTGCGTATCAGTTAGCTACAACAACAGGGCGGAAGACGTACAGCAATGAAGACTGCGACAGTTATCCAAGCCTATGTTCTGAGTCAGACAACAAACTAGAGAAGTTTCCATGTATGAGGCTGACAGACCAAAAACCATGATCAGTCAGGATCTTGGAGTCTAACCAATCATCAGCAAATTCTGGCATCACTGAGGGACACAACTCTGAACCATGAATTTCATTGATACTGTAAAACAGGAAATTAATGCGAGCAGAAAATTAATGCGAAAAATGCGAGTGGCGGAAGGTCGCATTAATGTTATTCGCATTAATTTTTCAAATAACAAAGTCACCTACACAAAGTGAAGTTGAGTAGTGGTCAGTTCACATCCTGTCAAGCAGCCCAGATTGGCGCCAGCCACGAATTATCCCATCAGTGTCCTTTACAAGCTTGTCAAGAGCAGACACGAGCCAACGCGCATGAATGGGTTTCATGACACTAATCCGCAGGTCAACGGGAGTGTGAGGATTGTCACCTGATCGAAGATTTGATACGCTGATCTGTTTTCTACTTCTTTTCATCAAAGGGCCGAACGTATATACTAGTACCAACAGACTGTCAACTAAAACGACACTGACACAATAATAGCTGCAAGGAAATAAGGAAGGAATCTCACACTGAAAACACATGGACAGGGGATTTAATGTGCACAGTTATTTTATTTATCTCTGTCTACTCACAGTTCCTTCTCAAAACGTCATTTGAAACAAACGAAGCGTTTTCAGGTAAGGCTTTTATTTATGTAGGTAACATTAATTAAAATAACACAGAACATAAATCCAGAGCATATTTTTTTAGGAAAGGGTATGGCATTCGCTTTTTTAAAATGCGCATTTATGTCTAAAATCAAGAGCTCGCATTATTTTCATGTCGCATTAAATTCCTCTTTTAAAATACAGTTCGTTTGACACCAAATGAGAACGATGAATTGCAAATTAACTCGAAATCAAGACGAGTGTATGAAACATCAATACGGTACTTGACCATGAATACCCTGTACCCAACAAAATCTGAATTTTGTTTATTTTAAGACCCATGACGGATGAAGTTTTTTAAGAAACTATCATGTAATTTTGTATAGAAATGTATACATGACACGTAGGGGGACAAACCGTGGAAGGAACAGCACAAGCACGGTCTGCACGTGCTACACAGTGATCGTGTTCATTCACTGACAAGATGCGCTACTCAGCAGATGTTAAACAGTTGATGTTGAATGTGCATGATTTCCTTAGAAGTGAAGCAGAAAGAGCAAAGCATTTTTATGCAATTAATAAATTCTTGAAACGAGCTTCAAAAGCTCTTGGTTTGTCCCCTCAGAAACTTAAAAAATGTTGTTAGTCGACGAGATACAAATAGTCAGGCCAAGGAGGTAGGGAACATGTCAAAACCACGCAAGGTTGATAAATTAGACAGTTTTTTCAGAGGGATCAAGTCAGACGTGCAATTGTTAAACTGCACTCAGAAAATAAGTACCTGTCCCTAAGAATTTTGAAGAAACACCTTGAAACTGACCATGATTTACGTGTTACAAAGTACAAACTATGGCAGCTGTTGCATACATTTGGTTACAAATACAAAAAGATAACTGGGGAAAATAGGGCTGTGTTGTGCGAACGGTCTGACATTGTTCGTCTCCGAATCATTACCTTCGTACCATCAAGCAGGAACGTGAAGAAGGATATGAGCCCGTCTTCTTAGATGAGACATGGGTAAATGCGTCACACATAGCCAGCAGTCAGTGGGTACCCAGTGGTGACTGTAAGGAGTTACCAATGGGAAAGGGTGAAGGACTCATAGTTCTCCATGCTGGTTCTGCTGGTCAGGATTTTCTCCCAGACTGTGACCTCGTCTTTAGAGCCAAGGCCAAAGACAACAGGGACTACCACACAGAAATGAACGGCAATGTATTTCTGGAGTGGGTGAAAGATAAATTAGTCCCTGCTTTGCCTACCAAGTCTCTCATTGTCATGGACAATGCACCGTATCATAGTGTGCAGGATCCAGAAAGCAAGACTCCAACCTCTAATAACCGCAAAGGAGACATGGTTACTTGGCTGCAACGGAGGAGTGAGTGAGTTAAGATTTAACGACACATGGGCAATATTTCAGCCATATCGTGACGAGAAATTACATTTATGATACATTTATGATACATATATTTCAACTGAATAAAAAGCTGTCAACGAAGGACAGTATAATAACTAGAATATCACAGACTTGATTTAAAACTAGTTGAGAATATTAAAAGGCAGTAAGCATTAATGAACATCACAATTTAAAAATGGGCTAGAAATCGTCAGCAACTGAAGGGAGATCACCATACTGGGGACCATGGGGACAGTACTTTTGCTTCCTGCATGGACCCCGGCAGGATTTATATCATCCCTTCAGTCACTGGCGACAGTGTACCAGTTAAGCCTTAGATTAAAATAACGAAGATACTACGTTTAAAAGCCTAGTGTGCAGAAAAATACTTCGAATGATTTGGGACGTACATACCCTCTTAGGGGGACAATAATTTTACGCTACTTCAACCCCCCTCAAGGGTACAGCCACTAACAATCTAAGTTATGAATTTCGCACTACCAATTTGTAAAACAATACATTGAACACATCAAAATTTATGAAAAAGCTCTATTTCCTTTAAAAAACATAATATTAAACGAGAATTAACATCATTAAAAAGGTCCTTAATTGTTTTTACATTGAAATATTTATCCCTTGTGATGGAAAAATCAACACAGTCAAGCAGGACATGCTTAACCGTGATTCTTTCATCACAAGGGATACAAAACGGAGGATCCTCACCTTGTAATAAATATTCGTGCGTATATCTGCTGTGGCCAATACGACATCGTCGCATAATGACCTCTTCAAATCTGGACTGACAGCCCAAGTAGGTGTAACCGATATTTGGTTTAATTTCATGTAATTTATTGATACCTACTTGGGCGTCCCACTTCTGTTGCATAAGATCTCGGATGTAAGATCGAATCAAGGGTTTAACATCAGTGTATGGGATCAGAAGTGGTGTCACAGATTTGTTGAGGGCTGCTTTTGCAGCAGCATCGGCCATTGTGTTACCTTTGATACCAAAATGGCTTGGTAACCAACAAAAGACGATGTCATATTGGCCAGTAGCAAGATCATTAAATAACTCAAGAATTTGGATTAAAAGTGGATGTTTTGAAGACATATTTTTAATTGCCTGAAGACATGAAAGAGAATCTGAAAACAGTATGAATTGTTTATGTTTAGATTGATTACTGATATATTTAAGTGCTGTAAAAATGGCGTTTGCTTCTGCAGTGAATATTGAACTGTTATCAGGTAAACGGGAAGAGATTGTTCTGGATCCAATGACAGTGGCACTAGCAACTGTGCCACCATCCTTGGATCCATCGGTAAATATAGATTTATAAGTGTCATAATTGTTTCTAAGTTGGTGGTATTCTTGTTGGTATATTAATTGGTTAGTATCTGATTTCTTAAGTTTGGTTAATGTCAGGTCTACCTCTGGCTTTACCATTTGCCAAGGAGGAGAGGAGAAAAGTTGAGTAGGAGCTATATCTTGGAGTTTAATATTTGAAGCTGATATTGCAGATTTTATTCTAATTCCGAGTGGTGGATGGAGTGCCGATTTCTTATTGTAAAGATCTTCGTAGAGAGGATGGAATATACATTCAAAAGCTGGATTTGACGGATTAGAATATAATTTAGTGATGTATTGTAGAGATAATTTTAGTCGGCGTTGTTTAAGAGAAGGCTCATCTGCTTCTATATAGAGACTGTGAATGGGAGACGTTCTGAAGGCTCCAAGACAAAGCCTCAGACCCTGATGATGTATCGTATCTAGTTTTTGTAAATTACTTTTGCAGGCTCCACCATAGATGATGGAGCCGTAATCAAGTTTGGAACGAATTAGTGACCTGTACAAGTGTAAGAGGGTTGTTTGATCCCCTCCCCACTTTGAATTAGAAACAACTTTTAATAGATCGAGTGCCTTCAGGCATTTAGCTTTGAGGTATTTAATATGCGGGAGAAAAGTTAAGTGATGATCAAAAATAAGTCCCAAGAACTTGGCTTCCTTAACAACTTTGATAGGAGTGCCATTCAGAAATAGTTCAGGGTCCTTATGCGGTTTATATTTTCGGCAGAAATGTATGCAATTAGTTTTTGATTTGGAAAATTTAAACCCGTTTTCTAGACACCACTTGTTAATTTTATTAAGACATAATTGTAATTGCCTTTCGATTGTGTGCATATTTTTACCCCGACAAGATAGATTAAAATCATCCACAAAAAGTGATCCATCAACTGAATCAGTTAAAACTTTTGACAAACTGTTAATTTTTATACTGAATAAAGTGACAGACAAAATACTGCCTTGTGGGACACCCTGATCCTGATTATAATGATCAGACAGGGTTGTACCCACTCGGACTTGAAATTGCCTGTCTGTTAAAAACTGGGATATAAAATGAGGCAGACGGCCTCTTAATCCAAAATCATGAAGATCTTTTAAAATACCATGTTTCCATGTTGTATCGTAAGCTTTTTCTAAATCGAAAAAGATCGATACAGCATGTTGTCTATTTACAATGGAGTTTTTAATGAACGATTCTAAACGCACTAAATGATCGATAGTACTTCTGTTCTTCCGGAAACCACATTGTATATTGGTAAGAAGATTATTTGTTTCCAAGTACCACACTAATCGATTATTTACCATGCGTTCCATCGTTTTACAAACACAGCTAGTAAGAGAGATAGGTCTGTAATTTGATGGATCAGAATGATCCCGCCCAGGTTTGGGTATGGGGATAACAATGGCTTTATGCCATGAAGCTGGAAATGTCCCTGCTGTCCAAATATCATCGAATATATTCAACAAAGTTTCAAGACATGATT